TCTCTCTGTCCCTCCCCTGCTTGTGCATGCACTCTCTCTCAAAAATAAATAAATAAACATTAAAGAATTTTTAAAAATGCAAACAAAATTATTTTCTTCTTTAACAAAGAAGATATTAGGGCATACACAGCATGGAACATAATTGAATATACTGACTTTTAATCTTAATGTGATTATTTTTGTGTTGATAATGTTTTCTTTAAAAGATGATTTCGGGGGGCGCCTGGGTGGCGCAGTCGGTTAAGCGTCCGACTTCAGCCAGGTCACGATCTCGCGGTCCGGGAGTTCGAGCCCCGCGTCAGGCTCCGGGCTGATGGCTCAGAGCCTGGAGCCTGTTTCCGATTCTGTGTCTCCCTCTCTCTCTGCCCCTCCCCCGTTCATGCTCTGTCTCTCTCTGTCCCAAAAATAAATAAACGTTGAAAAAAAAAATTTTTTTTAAAAGATGATTTCGGGACTCCTGGCTGGCTCAGTCAGTGGGGCATGCAACTCTTGATCTCAGGGTTGTGGGTTCAAGCTCCATGTTGGGCATAGAAATTACTTTTAAAAAGATGATTTAGATCATTTTTTTAAATAGAAATCTCTTTTTTTAAATTTTTTAACGTTTATTTATTTTTGAGACAGAGAGAGACAGAGCATGAATGGAATAGGGTCTGAGAGAGAGGGAGACACAGAATCTAAAACAGGCTCCAGGCTCTGAACTGTCAGCACAGAGCCCGACGTGGGGCTGGAACCCACAGGCCACGAGATCATGACCTGAGCCGACGTCGGCCGCCCAACCAACTGAGCCACCCAGGCGCCCCTAGATCATTTAAAAAAAATTTTTTTTAACGTTTATTTTTGAGAGACAGAGAGAGACAGAGAGACAGAGCACAAGCAGGGGACGGGCAGAGAGAGACACAGAATCTGAAGCAGGCTCCAGGCTCTGAGCTGTCAGCACAGAGCCCAATGGGGGGCTCAAACCCAGTGACTGTGGAGATCATGACCTGAACCAAAGTCGGATGCTTAACTGAGCCACTGAGGCACCCCTAGATCATTTCTATATCGAGTACACATACTCTACATCTAATATGGTATTTTGTAGCATATTTTCTGAAATATACTATAGTATACTTTATCATATCTAGAGCCATTCAATATCCATCTGTCCTTCACTGGTGATGTTAATTTTGATTACTTGGTCAAGTTATTGTTGATTTTTGTACTTTAGGACCAAGCAAATACCTTGTTCCTTAACACAGTGTCTCTGTTATTTTGTAATTTATAATAAGGAATAGATATTTGGTCTTCTTCCATTTCTGGCACAGAGTTCCTAAAACCCTTGGAACTTCCCAAGTGATGAGAGTGATCTAGGTGTCTTCTGTTATGTTAATGAGGCAAATTTTAGGAGTGCCTGGATGGCTCAGTTGGTGGAGTGTGCCACTCTTGATCTCAGGGTTGTGAGTTCTAGCCTCAAGTTGCATGAATAAATTACTAAGAATACATACATACATGCATAAACTTTTGAAAAAATGATGTAACTTTTAGAAAGCCCTAGGTAACCTAAAGATGGGTGCTGGTACCCAGGGCAACCAACCAAATGATTAGAGGGTTTGAACTTTTAGTCTTTCCTCCACCCTACCAACAGGGAGGGAAAAGGGGCTGGAGATCGAGTTTAATCAGCAGTGGCCAGTGGTTTAATCAATCATGCCTCTGTAATGAAGCCTCCATAGAAACCCAAAAGGATGGGGGTTTGGGGAGCTTCTGGGTTGGTCAACATGTGGAGATGAAGGGAGAGTGTGGAGCTTGGAGAAGGCATGGAAGCTCCACATCCTTTTTGCCCTATGTACCTCTTCCATATGGCTGTTCTTGAGTTATATCATTTTATAATAAACTGGTAATCTAGTAAGTAGTGTGTTTCTGAGTTCTGTGAGCTACTCTAGCAAATTAATCAAACCCAAGGAGGGGGTTGTTAGAACCTCTAATCTATAGACATTTGGTCAGGAGCACAGGTGACAATCTGGACTTTCAATTGGTATCTGAAGTATGTGTGTGTGTGTGTGTTGGGGGGGTGGGTAGCAGTCTTGTAGGATTGAGCCCTTAAACTGTAGGATCTGATGCTGTCTCCAGGTAGATAGCATCAAAATTGAGTTGAATTGTAGGACAACCAGCTGGTGTTGGAGCATTGCTTTGTGGTGTGTGGGAACCCCCCCCCCCCCAATTGGCCTGGGTGTAGAATCTTAGTCCTCTTAGATTTGGCATCCATTGATAATTCTCATCTGATTCAATCTTTACTATGAAAACTATAAAATGCCAATTTTCCAACTCTAAGACTCTCTTTTACCTTTATTAGTTGGTCTCAACATACTATTGTAAGCAAAACTTCTCCATTCTCTGTTTATTATTGGTACAGATACATGAATTTCTATTTCTTCAGTGTTTATAAGTCATTACTGTACTTAATTATTTTGGGGCTCAAGTTGTCCTAGATTTGGCCAGTAGGATCCCCTTCAAGCTGGCTTCTGTGTCCCTGTGACATGCCTCATCATTTTTTTTTCTTTTTTTTTTTAAGTTTGAGAGAGAGAAAGAGAGGCACAAGCAGGGAAGGGGCAGAGAAAGAGTGAGAGACAGAATCCCAAGCAGGCTCTGTGCTATCAGCCTGGAGCCTGACTTGGGGCTCAATCCCACGAACCGTGAGATCATGACCTGAACCGAAATCAAGAGGCTGATGCTGAACCAAGTGAGCCACTCAGGCGCCCTGCCTCATCATTTTTTCATCACTTCCTTCATTTCAACCAAAAAGATGTTCTAGGCTCACCTGCCCCAGCCCTGGAATCAGCCATTTCTCTAAGAGGTGCTAATTCTCTTTAAGTGGGCATATTAGTTTTATCTATTGCTACCTAACCAACTACCCCAAAACTTAGCTTATAATACCAATTGTTATTTCACACAGTTTCTGAGGTCAGAAATTTGGGAGAGGTTTAGCTAGGTAGATTCTGGATAAGTTTCTCTCCTTTTATGAGGTCATAATTAAGAATTTTGGGGAATGGGAACTCATTCTGGGGAGACAAATCACACTTTTTGCAAGGAATTCATAGGCTCCAGAATTGAGACAGTAAAAACTAATACTGTAGAGTTTCTTTTCTACTTTGAAAGACTGTTTCTTTTAAGATCAAGTTCTAAACTATCATTACTTTATGCTATTACTTTTAATCTGTTAGAGCATTTTTTTTCATCAGTTGGTTCAAGTTATAAAGATAAAATGTTATACTAAAAAATAAAATAAAATAAAATAAAATGATATTGAAGATCTACCTGTACAAGACTGATAAGTGATAAGCTCCTGCTAGACAGAGTTTGCAAGGTAGTATAATCCTTCTAGTCCTTTCCTGAAGCTTTCTCAAAGAAGTAAAAAATTTCAGAGATGACTCTATCAGAAGCTCCAACCTGTTGAAAGATTCTCACCCCTTTGCTCACTACCCCAGTCATCATTCAGCTACCGAATACCATCATATATGCTGAGCTATTAGCACTGACATGAATACAATGTAAATAGCAATTCTCAGGATGGTCTCTTAGGGTTTAAAATCCTCAGGGATCCAAGCTGTCCTAGGAATAAGCCTTGCTCAACCCAGTTCAACACAAAAAGCAATTAATAATTAATGAAATTGAGAAATCAGTCCACACTGTAGCAGGGGGGCAGGAGTGCAAGGGCACCTGGCTCTAGGGGTCCCAAACAAAGCAGGTTTGGTTACTACCGCTGGTAGGCAGTGAAGGTCAAATGGGTCATGTCTTGGCGTCACTCAGGGTCTTACTGGTTTAGGACAGTCTATTGCTTGAGGGGATGCTTTGCCTGCAGGATTTTTTGACTGCGTTAAGAGATAGGCTGGAAAGAATTTAATCAATTACAAAGTTTGAGATCAAAAAGGAAGCAGTTGAAGTCCTCTTTCAACACTAAGTAATCCATCTTTGAGGAAGCTGGGATTTGTGTGTGTGTGTGTGTGTGTGTGTGTGTGTGTGTGTGTGTGTGTGTGAAAGAAAAGGCAGCCCCTCGTAGGGGAAGGGATCATAGCCCAGCCTCTGGAGAGGCGGTTTTAACCGCAGCATTGCCCCTAACCAGCGAAAAAGTAGGTGGTTCAATCACATCAGCTCTCCGAGCCTCAGTATCCTTGTCTATAAAACAAGGGGTACGGGCCGTCTGGGTGGCGCAGTCGGTTAAGCGTTTGACTTCAGCCAGGTCAAGATCTCGCGATCCGTGAGTTCGAGCCCCGCATCAGGCTCTGGGCTGATGGCTTGGAGCCTGTTTCCGATTCTGTGTCTCCCTCTCTCTCTGCCCCTCCCCCGTTCATGCTCTGTCTCTCTCTGTCCCAAAAATAAATAAACGTTGAAAAAAAAAATTAAAACCAGGGGTAGGCTTGATGGGCCCCGTCTCGCTGTAATTTTCCACTCTGAGGCTTACGGAGAAGTCCACACAACGAATTAAATTCCTTCAAGGACTGCTGGAAGTGAACTCAATGGTCAAGGCTGAACGATTTGCTCTTTTGGTCCAGTATGGGCGGCCATAGAGCACCAGTCCTGTTTAACTGATTAATATACCTTGCCCAGACACGTGACGATCGTTTAAAACTCCGCATCTTCCCCACTTCTCCCAGAACCCAGGGATCTGGGAACGTGGGAACCCAAGGATCTCGCTTTAGCTGCAAAACCCCGCTCCTGGAGGGGAGGGGGCAGGGAGGAGGCGAGGGTGGGGGTGGGGGTGGGGCAGAGGTCTAGCGGTGCGCCTGCGTGGTGGGGTGGGAGGACAGAGGTCTCGCTGCCTGCAGTTCGCAAGCTCTGAAAAGCGGGCGGTTTCCTCTCGAGCTGCGTGCTGGTGAGTGACGCGAGACGGGCCCGGCGCCGGGGCTGCTGGGTCAGCCAAGCCCGAGGCTGGGTTGGGTCTTCCGGGTGAGGGAGGATCTGGGAACCTGGGTGACTTCCACTCTTCCTCTCGGAGCTGCCACGAGGCTGGCATTATTGCCTAGGTCACTATGTAGCAGGGTTCTCGCATAGAGAGTCGTGACGCCACGGCTTTTCTTAACAGGAAGCAACTTTATTCCTGCCTGCACTGCTCAGTTGGGCTCGTACCCGAAGAGCTGAGCTCCGAATGCCACCCGGTGTAATTTTTTACATATTTTCTACTTTTTTAATCTCCCTCATGTGGTGATAGATACAAACATGCTGTCTGATTAAGTGGTCTCATGTTACAAGGTCATGAGGGTTGTGGTCACCTACGCGCATAGCCAGGTTACCTTGAGGGTTTTTTTTTTTCCTTAGGGAGGGGGGACCCTACCACAACTAGGTTAGGGAATGCTCTAGAAGAAACGGGGGCAGGTCTTTGTGTTTGTTTTTGGTTGTTGTTTTTTAATGTTGGGTGTAAGCAGCCTTAAGTTTGCACGTAATTGTGTTTAAGGTGCATCTGGGAGGTTCATTTAATAAATATTTATTGAGCCCCTGCCATGTGCCAGAGGGTGAACATGAATCATTGAACAAACAGACACAAATCCCTGTCCCTTTGGCACTTGCAATCTGGGAAGCCAGTTTGAAATTTGGGCTGTAGATGCAGATACTTAGTAATGTCCATGTGAGTGGTTGGTAGTGGGAGCCAGAGAGGAAGGTGAGGCCAGTGGGAGAAGGGAAGAGCCAGGCAGGAATCTCCCAACCTGTTAGACTTGGGCAGAGGAAGGAAGAAACCAGAAGAGTCAAAGGAAAGGGAGCGACAGGCCGGCAAGAGTGGAGGAAATCCCAGAGGTTTCCACCTTTTATAACAAGGCCAGGGTCTGCAGAGCCATTTGGGCAGAATAATTGAACAAGATCAGGATGGGGAAGAGTTGTTTGTTTGTTTTAAACATGTTAGGAAGCTCGTGTTATGGAAATGGTTATGTGTTGTGTTTGAGTGTGGGTTCTGGTCTTTCTTTTGGGCAAGGTCTCCAACCTGTCTCTTCCTTTTCTCCATCTAGAAAAATGGGGACAGATGACAGTACCATCCTCATAGGGTTGTTGGGTAGAAGGGGTTCGAGGCAATGATTATAAAAACTTTAGCCCCGTTCCTGGCACTTAGTAACATTCAGAGAACCTGCTGAGAGAAGGGCCTTTCCTAAGATCCCACGTGATTAGAACCAGGACGTGTCCTCTGCTCTACCTAGTTCAGTACTCTTTTCTAATGCTAAGCTACAAGGTAGATTCTCTGATAACACAGTCTTTATGAGCAGCACCAGAGTGAATTTTTCAGTTGACCATTGATTTGGTCAATGGGAATTGATTTGGTCAATTGGTCAATTGATTTGGTCAATTGGGATATTACTTATCACTAATTGGGAATCCATTTAATCTCATAGCAACCAAATATGGTACGCTTAACATCAGTCAAAAAAGAGTTGAGTGTCCCCCCTACTCCTTCACTGGGGATGCATTTAACACCACCACCGCCTGTCCTCTCAGATCTAGAACTTGGTGTGTCATATTTTAGGATTTTAATTTTGTAACCCAATCAATTCTTTATCCTTTAAATGTGTTGTTTGTTGTGCTATCAAGGGATATTGTGCAATTATCTTAACCTTAGTTAAATCTAGTGTTTGACAGTTGAAAAATTTCTAATTTAATACAGAGGGAGAGAAATTTAATGGTGTGTTTTTCATGCTGATAAAAAGTATTTGGACAAATCTACAGTGTGCATATTTTAGAGAAAGCACACATAGAAAGTAATCAGAGAAGAGGGCAAAATATGAAACTTATTTGGGAAGAATTCCTTTGATTGAAAATTATGATGCTGTTAATAACCTCTCTGGGGCAGTTATCTTTGGACCCAGCATCAATGGAAAATTTTGCTTTTTAATTCTTCCATAATTTACACACAAGGTGATTCAGTAGAAAATTTCCTTTTAAAAATATGTTTAGCCCTACAAGACATTTTGGACTTCTTGATGTGAGGAGATAGGATGCACACAGTAACATCTTTAAAGATTCTTGCTTAAAAAAATTCAACCTGTGTCTAAATCGAATCTCTAGATCTAACTACCAGTCAAGGATAGGGAGGCGGGGGTGGGGGTGGGGTGGAAGGGTGGGGATAGAAGAATGAGGTAAATGACACCCTGAAGAAGCAATCAAAGGACATTACATAGACAAAGGAATTTAGCAACAAATGTTTCTTCAGCATTCAATGGCATGAAATAAAATCTGTAAAATGGGGACAATAATACTTAATGGAAGATTAGGAGATACAGTGCCAACACCAGAATTTCATTTTGCTTCTTTCATTAGCTCAAATTGTAAACCCAGAATAAGCTGATCCTTTACTTCTTTGGCTATTTTGTATTTCAGAATTTCCTGTAAGGTGAGAATTTAAAAATGCTTTTAATGTTTTACTTTTTTTTTTTTTTTTTTTATTTTTCTTTCTTTCTTTTTTTTTTTTTTTAATCCCTCCACTCAACATGGAGCTCAAACTCACATCCCCAACGTCAAGAGTTGCATGCTCTTCTGACTGAGCCAGCTACCACTGATGTTTTGCTTTTGTATAAATAAAACTATTAACGTAATTTCCATTTTGACCAATGAATAAAAGAATTGTTGAACATTTGGTTACATCTCAAACAGCTAGTGTTTTTGTTTTGCTACTAGATTAACTTCTAGCTCTGGAGGAATATATCATGTTTTCTTTTAATCAAGTCACAGTAGGAGGCTTAATCAGGACGGTATAAAAATGAATGTGCCTGAATTATGAAGCCAAAAACATTCGTCTTACTCAGTCTTTTGAACTTGTTCCTATTAGTCAAAAATTGTAACTAGATTTAGTCTTTCTTTGCATATTTGCTTTACGAGGCCAACTCTGACAGGGAACTACATCTTTTCTGGATCCCAAAGATGGTTTTTTTCCTCTCCTTGTTCGGAATCATAAGTGTGCTTTCTTTTTTTTAATTGTTGACTATTTTAAAACTTTGTGATTTAAAAACTTTTCTGTTTATAGGAGTTGCTCTATACAGAAGTCTTGTGAGAGCACTGTGCTGCAAGGTGATGATTATACAAAGAGTGGTATTGAATTCCCGACCTGGTATGTATTTGTATCAAAGACTTGGTCTTTGATAATTATTAGTGAAAATGAAGGAACAAAAAGTAATAGTTAATGTGGTAAATTAAGGTAGGAAGATATTAACCCTAGTAGAGATATTGGAAGAAACTCTTTAAATAATATATTATTCAGTTTTTTAAGTGATCGCTTATCAAGGCTATCTGTTGAAGAAAAAAGGTATTTTAGAATTATTATACTTAAAATGCTATATTACCCAGGGCACCTGGGTGACTCATTTGGTTAAGCATCTTGACTCTTGATTTTGGTTCAAGTCATGATTTCACGATCATGAGATCGAGCCCTGCATTGGGGTCTGTGCTGACAGTGTAGAGCCTGCTTGGGATTCTCTGTCTGTCTGTCTCTCTCTCTCCCTCTCCCTCCTCTTTCTCTGCCCCCACTTGGAGTCTCTCTTTCTCAAAATAAATAAATAAATATACTTAAAAAATATTATAGTACAAATATATATATGGCTTTTGTTTTTTATTTGCAGTATGCATTGTTGATTCTTAAAATTTGTCTTTCTGTTCTATGTGAAAAACACTGACCTATGTCTGTGCTGACATGTAACCTGAATCATAGAAACTTAGGTATGAAAATAACCTGAGAGGTTTGGGCCCATGCTGCTTTGGTTTTACTGTTTACTTACTGTGTGGCTTAGAAAAATCACTTACCTTCTTCCCCCCAGCCCCTTACCTTTTCTGACTTCCATTTTAGAAAAGTGAGATGTTAGATTAAAGTGTTTATTCTTTTTCCACCTTAGACATTTGATGACTCAATCAGTAGGAAGTTTGCTTATGTTAACATAACTGAGTAAGAATACACTTCGATGACATTTTCTGCTTACAAATTTTTCTTTCTATATTTCAAATTTTCTAATTTCCTAATTTTCAAGACTTTATTTTAAAGTAGGCTCCACACCCAACCTGGGGCTTGAACTCACAACCCTGAGGTCAAGAATCACATTCTCCACCAACTGAGCCAGCTAGGCACCCCAAGGTTTACTTTTTAAAAAAATTACATTCATCCTCATGGGCCCCTCCAGCTCAAGCCCATCTCCGCCTGTGGTGTTGCTTTCGTAACCTTGCAGCATCCCTTGTCCACAAATGCCTGCCTATGCCTATCCGAATGCTGGTGCCCTCAGCTGGGATGCCCAGTGATAACAGCCTGCACGCAGCCCCTCCTGCAGAACTTAGCAGCAAGACAATCCCTGCCTGCCACCTGACCCTGATGGGAGATGAGAGAAGCTGGGGCTAGGTCTCTTCTCCATCATTCAGCATATCGCATTTGGAGAGAAATCGCGTTAAAGTGAAGCTTCTGACTCTCCTACATAACCTATCTAAAATTGGATTTGGGAAATGGCTTTGATCAAAAAAAATTTGATGAGCAAATTGGACATTTGAGTCCCATTCTATGTAACACTGTCACATACAGACACGGGCCCATATCAAACTTTCCTAAGACACTAGTACATTCGGAGTCATCTCATAAAGTTAAATTTTATTTTGGAAAAAAAAAATTATGGGGTGCCTGGGTGGCTCAGTCGGTTGACTGTCCTACTCTTGATTTCAGCTCAGGTCATGATTCTAGGGTCATGGGGTCGAGCCCAGAGTCAGGCTCAGTGCTGAGTGTGGAGCTGCTTGGGATTATCCTTCTCTCTCCCTCTGCTCCATTTGCACTCTCTCTCTCTCTCTCTCTCTCTCTCTCTCTCTCTCTCTCTCAAAAAAAGAGAGGGCATCTGGTGGCTCAGTCAGTTAAGCATCCAACTCTTGATTTTTGTTCAGGTCATGATCTCACATATTGTGTTTGAGCCCTGTGTCAGGCCCTACGCTGGCATCATGGGGCCTGCTTGGGATTTTCTCTCTGTCTCCCTCTATCTCTGCCCCTTCCCCACTCGTACTTTTTCTCTGTAAAAAAATTTTAAAAATTATATTCCAGTTTCCATTTCTTCTTAAGATGAGGAAGGAAAGTTTACTTAGCTATTTATTTTGGCTGATGTGTTTCTGTTATGTTGTAAAACTTGATTTTCATAATTAAAAAAGATGGCTGTGAGTTTTTACTTTTTGAAATCTTACAATTTTACAACAGATGAGGTGATTTACCTGTAATAGTCTTTAAAAAGGAATTTTGAAGTTGATGGCAATATTTTATAGGAACTTCTTGGAGAAGATAAAGAGCAACTAAAACTATTTGAAGAATTTATGCTGAGTTACAGAGAAATTACAGAACAATATAGATTTATTCATGTCTGTATTAAAAGGGAGTTCTCTGAATCCTAGAGTTACCTTTTAAAGAATAATAAATACACTTTGGCTCATGTCATGATCTCATGGCTTGTGAGTCCGAGACCTGCATCTGGCTCTCTGCTGTGAGTGCAGAGCCTGGAGCCTGCTTTGGATTCTGTCTCCCTCTCTGTCCCTCCCCTACTCACGCTCTGTCTGTCTGTTTCTCTCTCTCAAAAATAAATAAACAGTAAAAAAAAAAAAAAAAAAAAATCACAAGGACATACATTTAAAAAAAGAGAAATAATTACATAAGAAAGTGGCTTTTTGATTTTATATTTTCCTTAATATTTTAGGAAAAAATGGTAATCCAGTGGCAGAAAATTTCCGAATAGAAGAAGTAAATTTACCAAATAATATCAATGAAGGACAAGTACAAGTGAGAACTCTTTATCTTTCTGTGGATCCTTACATGGTAAGAATCAGGATTTTGTGACTTGGTGAAGATTAATTGTATTTTCATATTTTTTATGTTGCATCTGAATTTCATTGTGCAATCCTCATGATTAATAAATATTTAAGCAATTATCTCTTGATGCCTGGGAATTACAGGTTGTCTTTGTTTTTATTCACTTGTGTTGTGGAGGAATGTTGTAGAAGAAATGTTTTCATCATAGTAGTACATGTTAATCCGATTCTTTCAAATGTCCAGATCACTTCCCGGTTGTAAATAACATAGTGAATTAGGCTTGGAAGTTCTCTCAGATTGATCTAGTTTACAAGGCAGGCTCTGAATAAGACCTTTATTCTAGTTGGTTTCTTTTTGAAGGAACAGACTCATGCTATTTTTAGATAAAGAAGATTTATTGAAAGATATTGTGAAGGACTACAGTTGAGAAGCCCTTAGGCACATGGACTTAGTCTCTATAAAGACAGATAGATTTGGGGGCACCGGGGTGGCTCAGTTGGTTAAGCGACCAGCTCTTGATTTTGGCTCAGGCCATGATCTCATGGTCGTGAGTTTGAGCCCCACATCTGGTTCCGTGTGAAGTCTGCTTGGGATTCTCTTTCTCTCCCTTTCTCTGTGCCCCTCCCCTGCTCGTGCATGTGCTCGTGCCCCCCCCCCCCCCGCCTCTCAAAATAAGTAAATAAACATTAAAAAAGAGAGAGATAGTTTTTTCTTCTTTTCCTGTATGAATGCTTTTTATGTTATTTGCCTGCCTGATTCGAACCTCTAGTACATTGTTATATAGAAGCGGTGAGAGGGAACATCTTTGTCTTGTTCTTGATCTTAGGGGGAAAGCATTCAATCTTTCACCATTAAATATGTGGGATGTAGATGCCCTTTGTCAGGTTGAGGAGATTTCCTCTTATTCCTGGTTTGGTTTCTGATTTGTTGAGTATATTTATCATAAAGAGGTGTTGGGTTTTTTTATTGTGATAAAATAGATCTAACAGTATGCCATTTTAACCATTTTTAAGTGTATAATTCAGTGGCATTAAGAGCATTCGGTGTTGTGCAGCTGTTACATGCTTTCCATATCCAGTACTTTTTCATCATCCTAAACAGAAACTCTGCCCTTTAAATAATAAAATCCCCATTATTCCCTCCCCCCAGAAGCAGTTTTAGATTTTGTCATGTGCATTTTCTGCTTCTATTGAGATGATCATGTGGTTTTTGTTTTTTAGTCTATTTATGGTTTGTTATATTAATTAATTTTCAGATGTTAAATCCGTCTTGCATTCTTGGTCCTGGTGTGTTTCCTTTGATACGTTGTTGGATTTAGTTTGCTACTATTTTCTTGAGGTTTTTTGCATCCATAAAGCTGTGAGACTATATTCATGGTCTATTGTTTCCTTGTGATGTGTTTGCCTGATTTTGGTATCAGGGTACTCTGGGCCTCAGAATGGGTTGGGAAATGTTCCCTCCTCTTCTGTTTTTGGAAGAGTTTGTGAAGAATTGGTATTCTTCTTTCAAAGATTGGTAGAATTCACCAGTAAAGCTATCTGGCCTGGGTTTTTCTTTTTGGAGAGTTTTTAAATGACTAATTCAATGTCTTTTTTTTTTTTTTAAATTTTTTTTTCAACGTTTTTTATTTATTTTTGGGACAGAGAGAGACAGAGCATGAACGGGGGAGGGGCAGAGAGAGAGGGAGACACAGAATCGGAAACAGGCTCCAGGCTCCGAGCCATCAGCCCAGAGCCTGACGCGGGGCTCGAACTCACGGACCGCGAGATCGTGACCTGGCTGAAGTCGGACGCTTAACCGACTGCGCCACCCAGGCGCCCCTAATTCAATGTCTTTATTTGTTGTAGGTCTACTAGGCTTTTCTATTCCTTTTTGAGTTGGCTTTTGTAGTTTGTGTTTTTCTGGGAATTTGCCCATTTCATCTAAGTTGTGTAATCTATTGCCATCGGTTCTTAGTATTTCCTTGTAATCCTTTTTTATTTCTGAAAGATAGGTAGTAATGCCCTTTCTTTTATTCCTGATTTTAGTAATTTAAGTCTTGTTTATTTTTCTCTTGGTCAGTTTAGCTAAAACTATGTCAATGTTGTTAATTTTTTAAAGGACCAACTTTCGGTTTTGTTGATTTTCTGTATTGTTTTCCTGTTGTCTATTTCATTAATTTCTGTTCTTTGTACTAGTTTTACAGCTTCCTTTGAGTCTTTATTTATGTAAAACAAAGTTAAAAGAAAATCAGGATAGCTTATTCAATCCAACTGGGTTGGATCAGTTAGTTGACTATGTACTTTGGGGCAAAAATTACATTCTTAGCTCAACCCCTATACCAGAATAAATTCCAACAGATAATAAAAAAAATTTTTTTAAGTGAAACTATAAAAATTTTTAGAAAAAACATGGATAAACAATTGAATGATGTTGGGGAAAGACTTTGTAAGAATGACAGCAAACCCAGCTAATATGAAAGAACATGATTGATAAATAGACCTATTTTTAAAAACATTGTGTTTTGTAAAACAATAAAACAGGATGTACAAAATCAAAAGATCAATGGCAAACTTAGGCAAATTTGCAATAGAAATAAAAGATAATAATGGCTAATATGCAGAAAGTTTGTCTATATTAGCCTGTGAAAAGTTGGGCAAAGGGACAAATAAGCAATTTAGAATCTCTTTATATATTACTGTTCTTGTACATATGCTTGCTTCCTGCTTTTGGCTTTTAGAGTGCCCTGGTAGGGCACAGAGAACATCCTGGCTGACCTCTTCTCAGGCTTCATGTACAGTGGAGACCCAATTGGCAATACCAATTTTCTGCCAGGATAGTTGTAGCCTTGGGAAGGCTCCTCTTCCCTCTGATCCAGGAGTGTAATTTCAGGCTCTGTCTTCAAGTAACACCAGTCTTAGTTGATTATGCTTACCACGGAAAACCGTTTGACAACTTCATTCAAAATTCTTCCCAGGGTAGCAAGAAATTTTTCTTTATGGGCTAGGGAAATGAAGTGGTGACTGGTCTAGAACATTCTAAAGAGACAAAAGACAAATAGATACCGAGGGATAAATTAGGGCATTGATTTTCCGTAGATCTAAAGATGCTCCACCTTTCAGTGGAAGCCAAGACAAGCTCAGTCAGGCTATCAGCCTCAATACTCTAGACTGTGCTGAGCAAATCACATGAGGAGAATAATTACCCCCAATTCAGGAGAAAAATGGCAGTGCACTATTTAGTATTCAGGGTCAATTCTTGATGATGATTGGTGTGGAGTTCTTAAGACTTCAACACTTCAATGTATCAATAAGACATAGCTCAGGGCATCTAAGGATTACATATGCCCTGATGAACAAAATGTAAAGCATATCATTTAAGCCCAGGATAATAAATACAAAGTAAATTAGGAGAACACAATTTACCAAAATAAAACCAAGGTTCAGGGTTAGAAGGGTTTTAAAAATGAAACAGAACAGTCAAAAAGGAATAGTTGAAAACAAGCAGAAAGGGTATGTTTTTCACAGGATTCTCAAAGTTGGAACAAACTTCCTGTTCAGCATTCCCTCTGAGAGACTTATAGTGAGATAAATTTGTGACCCAAGGATTTTAGGGGTGGAGAGATGATGAAGCAATTAAGATTATGACATGAACTGGATTCATGATCTTCACTTCTAAACACCCCCAACTTCAAAATAACAACAAAAAACCTCTTTTTCCTCCAGGAGAGTATATAGCTCCTCTGTCCACTCATTTCATGCCAGAAAGCACTGAGTTTTTCTTGAGACTGTCTCTTCGTTCTCTGTGTTCATTCTGTATGTCAGCCTCAGGTCCTGTGGATCCTCCTTCCTAAGTACATCTCAGTTCAGTCCACTTCTCAGTAAACTTCAAGGACGTGTATTCAGTCTGAGTCATCATTGTTTCTTTTTCTCCTAATGGAGTATCCTTGCAAACACTCTTCGCCCCCTTAGACTGTCTTCCACACTGCAGCCAGAAGTGGTAGTTGTATAATAACAACTAATCACGTCACCTTTATGTGTAATGGCTTTCTTTTAGTCTTGAGATAAAGACTAACATTTTGGGCATGGTCTAAGATGCTAGATAGTCTGGTCGCTGTTTGCCTGCCCAGCCTTACTATATCCTACTTTACTTCTTCCTCTTGGATGCTGGCCTCACTGGGCCTCTTTCTTGTGTAACACACCAGTGCCTTTTTTGCTCACACCTTATATTGATCATGTTTTTCCTTTGCTGTATTTTTTAACGCTTTCATATCTTAGGAGCTTTCCTAATCCTGGAGAGACAGCTCCTGCCAGCATATTTTAGAGATAACAAACAACTTGCCTGGAACACACCAAACTGCCTCCTTCATCTAACTCACACAGGTGATTTTCCCTGCCCCAAATCACCCCAGGGCCTGGTACCAGACAACTAGGGACCACCCCTCTAAAGCCAGATCCCACTGAAATTATTCAAGCTGTCTCCTCCTAAACTTACTCAAATTTCCCTACCCTGTCTTGTCCATTTCTTCCCCCTGAAACCATAATAAAGACTCTGGGCCATGCTCTCCTGTTGCTATTTTTTCTTCCTAACTCTGGTGCTTCCCCCTGTGGCCCTGTGTGGTATGGTGTGCTCCTCCTCTTGGGACTTGTAAGTAGTAAACTCTTCTTCTTTTTTGTAATACTTGTATTTTTGTTTTTTGTTTGTTTTTTTTTTTTGAGAGGGAGGGTGCAAATGAGTGAGGAGCAGAGAGAGAAAGAGAATCCCACAAGGGGCAGAGAGAGAGAGAGGAGGAGGGAGAGAGAGTGGCGGAAGTGGGGCTCACCCAATGCAGGGCTCGAGCTCACCCGAAGCGGGGCTCTAACTCATGAACCATGAGATCATGACCTGAGCATCGTGACCGAAGTCAAATGCTTAACCAACTGAGCCACCCAGGCACTTTAAACTCTTCTTTCAAGGCGGGTGTCTCTGTGTCTGTTGTTCTTCCATACCTGACTACAACAAAATCCTGAGTACAATTAAAGCAAGCCTTTATACGTGTTGTCCCTCTGTCTCCCTCCCGCTCCTTTCCTGTTACCTGGCCAGTCCCTATTACTCTCTTAAAGCCTGCATTAAAAAGATTTGCTTTGGGGCGCCTGGGTGGCGCAGTCAGTTAAGCGTCCGACTTCAGCCAGGTCACGATCTCGCGGTCCATGAGTTCGAGCCCCGCGTCAGGCTCTGGGCTGATGGCTCAGAGCCTGGAGCCTGTTTCCGATTCTGTGTCTCCCTCTCTCTCTGCCCCTCCCCCATTCATGCTCTGTCTCTCTCTGTCCCAAAAATAAATAAACGTTGAAAAAAAAAATTTAAAAGATTTGCTTTGATAAGTCGCCTTCCACCCTCAGACTCGTCTTCTCTGGTATATTTTCTCAAAAAAGTACCTTGATCTTCAGCATTTCTTCCGGTTGTAGTGAAGAATGATCTGTGTAGTTCTTAGATGCCTGTCTTCCCTAATAAAAAGTAAACTTATGAAGACAGAGGTCTTATTTGTCACTGTATTTCCAGTGACTGGCATGGCGTTTATTAAGTATTCATTAAAGGAAGGAGAGAAGAAAATAATTTTGGTTCTTTTTACTAGACATTGTTCTTAAAAAAAAAAAAAGAACGTATCCAAATTCATAACTCATTTTAATCCCCATGTTTACACAGTATTTTCCATGGTTATATTTAATGTATTATACTCTTTTTATTTTATATTTAAGTGACTTTATGTATATTTTCATATGATAAACGAGTCCAAATATTATTTTGGTGGTTATATAACATTCGATTGTGTTGACATCATTTGCTTACCTATAGAGAATTACTGTTTGTACTTTCTCTGTTAGCCTCATTTAAGAGTCAGGTCCTTGGTCCGGCAGTATTCAGTGGCTGCTGCACTTGCTTTCCAAGAATACTTGGAGGGGCACACTAGCAGAAGTGTAGTTAGTATGTTCTCATAGAAGCTTCTCCCTCAATTCCCTGTTTGGTCATTTACCCTGGTGAACTGAACCCACATAGTCAAGTAGTCTTCTATCTTTTCTATCTCCTGGACCACACTGTAGGCCTCTACGTCTTGGCTTTCATAAGTGGGCAAGAGTGAGCCACAGAGAGGAAGAGAGCCTTGATTACTTCCCAGAGAAATCTTCAGCTCTAGTCCCATGGAAGGGTGTGGTGCCATTGTGACATTTTGCCTTTGTAGTAGAAGAACATCCACCCAAAGTTATGGGGTATGATGTAGGGCTTGGCCTGAAGCTGTGATGAACAACTGTGTAAAAATTGTTTCACTTCTTTTGGGTTATTTCCACTGGGGAAGCAGAATTGCTAGGCCAAAATAAATGAATAATCTTACAGTCTATATGTTGGTAGTTTGCTTTCTATAAAAATTGGACAGTTTTATAATAGCAACATGTTAAGTGTAGCTAATGTGCCACAATCCATTGAAACCATTGACACATTATTTTTGCTAGCATAATGTAATATTAAATTTGTTTAAAAATTTTAACAGCTTTGTTGGACTATTATCACATATCATACGATTTATACATTTAAACTATACAATGCAGGGGTGCCTGGCTGGCTCAGTTGGAAGAGCATGTGACTCTTTTTTTTTTTTTTTTTTTTAATGTTTGAGAGAGAGAGTGAGTGTGTGTGTGTGTGCACGTACACACTCACGAGTGGGGGAGGGGCAGAAAGAGAGGGAGACAGAGGATCTTAAGTGGGCTCTGTGCCGACAGAGGCTCTGGACACTTAACCGACTGAGCTACACAGGTGCCCCAAAAAGAGCATATAACTCCCGATCTCAGGGCCATGAGTTTGAGCCCCAGTTTGGATGCAGAGATTACTAAATAAATACATTTTCAAAAAATAAAGTGTACAATTCGGCGGTTTTTAGTCTGTTTACACAGTTGTTTAACCATTACCGCAATCTGATATTAGACCATACTTAAAGTCCTTTCTAATTGTACTTATTTTTTAAATTTATTTTAAAAAATTTTGGGGGCGGGGACACCTGGGTGGCTCAGTTGGTTAAGCGTCCGACTTCATCTCAGGTCATGATCTCGTGGTCAGTGAGTTCAAGCCCTGCATCGGGCTGTACTGACAGCTTGGAGCCTGGAGCCTGCTTTGGATTCTGTGCCTCTGCCTCTCTCTGCCCCTCCCCCACTCACACTCTGTCTCTCAAAAATGAATAATCGTTAAAAAAAAATTAAAAATAATAAAATAAATTTTGATGTTTATTTCTTTTTTGAGAGAGAGAGAGAGTGCAAGCAGGGGAAGGACAGAGAGAGAGAGAGAGGCAGAATCTGAAGCAGGCTCCAGGCTCTGAGCTGTCAGCACAGAGCCCGATGTGGGGCTCAAACCCATGGACTGCAAGATCATGACCTGAGCTAAAGTCAGATTCTTAATGGACTAAGCCACCCAGGCGCCCCTCTAATTATACTTCTTTACTTGTTGGAGAGGGGATACATTTTTTTTTAAAGATAAAGAATAACTGAAAAGAAGATAGAAATTAAGATAAATTTAATTTGTTTAACACTTTACTTAACATTACTGACTATATACCTTTCTTTTAGTCACCCGATAAATTAACAAACTGGCCAGTATTATCAGGCAGAATTATCCTCATCAACATTTTCTTTTTTTAGCGTTGCAGAATGAATGAAGACACTGGCAGTGATTATATAACACCTTGGCAGCTGTCTCAAGTGGTTGATGGTGGAGGTATTGGGATTGTAGAAGAAAGCAAACACGTACATTTTACTAAAGGCGATTTTGTGACTTCTTTCTATTGGCCCTGGCAAACCAAGGCTATTCTGAATGGAAACAGCCTTGAGAAGGTGATGTATAATATACAGTACAGTAAAACCTTGATTTGCGAGCATAATTCATTCCAGAAACAAGCTTGTAATCCATAGCACTCGTATATCAAAGGGAATTTCAAGAATCGTTGGCTTAGTTGCGATCGTGTGACATTTGACATCATGTAGTACTCCTGTTGCAAGACATCGCTCATTTATCAAGTCAAATAAATTTTTTTAGAAATGTTTACTTGTCTTGTGGAACACTCGTAGAACAAGTTACTCACAATCCAAGGTTCTACTATCTGGGTCTTCCCCTCCCTATAAATCATTGTGCATTTGGCATTTGGTTCAGTGTGTTATCAGGGAAAAAAAATAAAAGCAGACATTTTCTTTTAGATGGCTGCTAAAATGTGGAAAACCTTTGTTTCTTTTCCACTGTTGGCCATAACTATATGACAGTTCTTAGATTATTAGTGAATAGTGTTGTTTTTCATATTTAATTTATTTCTTGACTTTTACATATATAAAAGCCAGAAGGTCTCTTATAGTTGTATGCTTTAAAGTTTCCTACGAAATTGCCATTTGACTTAAACTCATTTGGTTTGTGCTTAAAATTCCATTTTGTATCAAAAGTCCTGAGTTCAGTGTCTGTTGTTAGTTGAATTATGTGAAATTACCAATACTTGTCTGTATTGACCTATAAAACCTGGCAGCTTCATGTAATGCAACCCAATTTATGTCATCAGGGAAGTTATTTTATGTCTCTGAACCTTAGTTTCCTCATGTGCAAGATGAAAATAGTAGCTCTTTCACAACTGAATGTGGAAATTAAATGCTATGATAAATATGACTAACGCTTTCTAAAAAGCTTTATAAAATTTTAGTATTTTTTATTATTAGAAATTCTTTTTTTTTTTTAAGTTTATTTATTTTGAGAGAGAGAGAGAGGGTGTGAGGGGGGTGAGGAGAGAGATCTCATGAACCATGCATGAGATCATGACCTGAACTGAAATCAAGACTTGGATACCTAGCCATCTGAGCCACCTGGGCAGCCCTGTTATTATGAATTCTTATAATCAGTTAAAGGTGACTGTTAAAATACAAACGATAGGTGGGAGATGTTATACAATAATTTTCAACTTAATGATACCAGTAAAATATATTTAACAAGAAACTTCTTAGCAGGAAGAAATACTCAGCAGGTTCTGGTTTTTCCCTGTCATTTTGCTATGGAGGGAAATGGGGCAGTTGGGGAGAGCTTCAGAATGCTTTCAGCACAGTTATTAGAAATGAAAAGGAATTCAGAAGGGATGGAGAAAGGATATTTGCTAAACACAAACCTGTCTCCCAAAGTTTCTATATTGGATTTACCAATAAATATTACCTACATGATATATTTTTGTGTACTATAGACCTAAGTATTGTTGACTTTAATACCTTGATTGCCTTTATGTACACGCTAGATCTGACGGCCATTTAAGACTGCTGAATACAAACTGCCATTTTGTTTATGGCAGTTTAACTACAAATCAAATTAATGTGGTGAATCTTCTTTCTTTGAATTTTTTTTTTTCAACGTTTATTTATTTTTGGGACAGAGAGAGACAGAGCATGAACGGGGGAGGGGCAGAGAGAGAGGGAGACACAGAATCGGAAACAGGCTCCAGGCTCTGAGCCATCAGCCCAGAGCCTGACGCGGGGCTCGAACTCCCGGACCGCGAGATCGTGACCTGGCTGAAGTCGGACGCTTAACCGACTGCACCACCCAGGCGCCCCAGAATCTTCTTTCTTTGAAAAAGCTTCTTTACATATTTTTGAGAGAGTGAGCAAGAGAATCCCAAGCAGGATCCGCACTGACAGCCCAGAGCCCAAAGCAGGGACTCTATCTCACGAACCATGAGATCATGATATAAGCTAAATCAAGAGCCAGATGCCCTACTGACTGAGCCACCCAGGCCCCTTGGAATTGCTCAGAGGTTTTAAAACCTTCCTACTTTGCCTCATGTTTTCCCCTTAAGTGTTTCTTTCTTTCTTTTTTTAAATATACTTGGCGGCATTGATAAGAAAGAATGGTAAGTGTCTTTCACGTAGAATTCTTTAAAGTTTTTGTTTTTTACTATAAAGAGAAGTAATACTTATTTGTTTTTTACTTTGTACAAGTAAATTATAGAATTTTCACAAGACTGAAGAATGGTTCACTGTTCTAGAAACCATATCAGGTTGTTTATTAAAATCTGCTTGGAATGCCATTACAAAATACTATAGACTGGGGGCTTAAATGACAGAAATTTATTTTCTCACAGTCTGAGATCGAGGTGATGGAAAATTTGGTTTGTAGTGAAGTCTTTCTTCCTGACTTGTAGTTGGCTGCCTTTGTGCTGTGTCCTCACAGGGCATTAGCCTTTCTTCTGTGTATGTGCGGAGAAAGACCTCTGGTGTCTCTTCCTTTTCTCATAAGGATGCAAGTTCTGTTGGATTAGGGCCCCTCCCTGATGACCTCATTTAACCATGATTATCTCCTTAAAGGCCCTGTGTCCAAATATAGTTATATTAAGGTGTAGGTCTCAACATCAGAATCTGGGGGAACACAACTCAATCCATAACAGGTTTTTCTTTGCCTTGTTGATTTAAAATAGGAATTTCTAGTATTATTTTTTAAAGTTAGATATTTTATTTTAGGTAGACCCACAACTTGCAAATGGACACCTTTCATACTTTCTTGGAGCTATAGGTATGCCTGGTTTGACTTCCTTGATTGGGATACAGGAGAAAGGTCATATAACTGCTGGATCTAATCAGACAATGGTTGTTAGTGGGGCTGCTGGTGCTTGTGGATCCTTGGCTGGGCAGGTAAACTTTCTGAGAACTATTTGATTTTCTAAAAACTTGAATTTCTGGATACATGTATATAATTTAAAATATAAAATTGAACAAATGTATAATATTATATATTTCTGGTAGGAATGATGTTATTACCTGCTTAGACTCTCTTCATAACGATATGGAAAATGTAGATTTTTGTATCTTGTTCTCTGTTAACCAGAAATAGACATGGTAAATGCTAGAGCATTGCTCTAATCAATATAAGGAAGAAACCCATAGAGTACCTATCTGGAATTCCATGACATGAATTAAAAGACAAACTCATATTTTTAAAAGGAATCTTCAAATAAGAGAGCACTTACTGGGTTCTAGAAATACAGTAAAGATTATAATAGAATTTTAAAGTATATTGTTTTATGACTAACAGTCTTTATTGAAACAAAATATTTTATCATAGGCCTGAGAAATATTGAATTGCAAGTTAGTGATGTTTTGAGTCTACTTCTTTGTTGAAATCAGCTTTAAATTGTGAGATCTTAACATTCAGACTAAGTCTAATTTTAGTCAATCCTAATTTGTTTTTTAGCAGTGGCATTATATCTGGTCTTAATTCTTTTGGTTTCAAATTACTTTTAGCCAAAGTCCTGTAATCTAACCTAAATTGTGATGAACACTCTCATATACTTGTGATATCTTGTATACTCACATTTTTACACTTAAATGTAACAACGGAAAGTTTACTTTTTTAAAATCTCCCCCCTAGATTGGCCATTTGATGGGCTGTTCCAGAGTGGTGGGAATTTGTGGAACACAGGAGAAGTGCCACCTTCTGACCTCAGAACTGGGCTTTGATGCTGCAATTAATTATAAAAAGGGGAATGTGGCAGAACAGCTCCGTGAATTTTGTCCAGCTGGAGTGGATGTTTACTTTGACAATGTTGGTGGTGACATCAGTGATACAGTGATAAGTCAGGTTGTTTGCCAATTTGTTACAAATTTGAATGCTACATTTTATTTGCTGTGTTTTTTACCTGATACCGAAAAAAACCTATAGAATTGTAGGGTTTATTGTGAGAAATAATGTTAATGATCAGTATTGTAATTTAGTGATGCAGAAGAGCTTGCTGACAACTACTTCCATTTGCTTGCAGATTTGCATATGAGCATCAATTTCAGTTCTTTGACAGCAGTATTGTATTTTTCACCTGCAATTTATTTTTATCAAAAATTATAGGGGCGCCTGGGTGGCGCAGTCGGTTAAGCGTCCGACTTCAGCCAGGTCACGATCTCGCGGTCCGTGAGTTCGAGCCCCGCGTCAGGCTCTGGGCTGATGGCTCAGAGCCTGGAGCCTGTTTCCGATTCTGTGTCTCCCTCTCTCTCTGCCCCTCCCCCGTTCATGCTCTGTCTCTCTCTGTCCCAAAAATAAAATAAACGTTGAAAAAAAAAATTAAAAAAAAAAATTATAGTTGTAGGTAGGTGTGCCTAGCTGGCTTGGTTGGTCGGGCACGGGATTCTTGGTTTTGGGATTGTGAGTTCTAGCCCCACGTTGGGTGTTAGAGATTACTTAAAGATAAAATCTTAAAAAAAAAATTACAGTTGTGTTGTTCAAGTGGTGAAGTTTTGACCCTAATTCCTCATCAACTAACTCACTCACAGCCATGGCCTCTGACTTTGGGTAGGGAAACGATTTTCATAGATTATAGTTATTTACATATTTAAAAAAAAATTTTTTTTAACATTTATTTATTTTTGAGACAGAGAGAGACAGAGCATGAACGGGGGAGGGTCAGAGAGAGGGAGACACAGAATCTGAAGCAGGCTCCAGGCTCTGAGCCGTCAGCACAGGGCCTGACGCGGGGCTCGAACTCACGGACCACGAGATCATGACCTGAGCCGAAGTCGGCCACTCAACCAACTGAGCCACCCAGGCGCCCCAGTTATTTACATATTTTTATTGACAATGTTATAAAATATCAACATTAGCTATTAGCACAGCATTGTCCTTTACTATGTATACACACACACACACACACACACACACACACACACACACACACACATATATTGCAGTTGAGGTTAAATTATTTAAAAATTCTCTTAACATTTATTCATTTTTGAGAGTGAGAGAGACAGAGCATGAGTTTGGGAGGGGCAGAGAGAGTGGGAGACACAGAATCAGAAGCAGGCTCCAGGCTCTGAGCTCTCAGTACAGAGCATGACGTGGGGCTCGAACTCACGGACCGTGAGATCATGACCGGAGCTGAAGTTGGATGCTTAACCCACTGAGCCAGGCACCCGAAGGTTAAATTATTTAAATGCAAGGAAATACTTTACTGCTGCTACTAACAGTAGCAACAACAGTGATGATACCAGTGTAATTCTTTTGTGCATTACCAAACTCTCAATTACCTCTGTTCCTTTGGAAGGGACTTGTTTCCTGGCTAATTAAAACTCTTAAATACATATAAGGAGTAAATCTTCAAAGCAAAATCAATTAATTGGCACCAAAGGGTTAAATTACAGTAGTCAAGGAGGCTTTCGCTGAGGCAGCCATAAAATCAGTAAACATAGGAAAGGCATATATCTTAGGGTATAATCATCAATTTTTCCTGAACAGATGAATCAGAACAGCCATATCATCCTGTGTGGTCAGATTTCTCAGTACAACAAAGATGTGCCTTATCCTCCTCCACTACCCCCTGCTGTAGAAGCAATCCAAAAAGAAAGAAACATCACAAGGTATGGACCACCCTTTTCCCCTTACTACCAGATTCATGAGTTTAAAGATCATAGATGTATATGAAATGGTAGTGTTTTTCATATATAATTCTTCCTTATTAAGTAAAACTTGAAAATGGACATTTTTTTCAGTATTTAGGTTTTTGTTAACTAGAGCCCTGGCAAAAACTTTTTTTTTTTTTCACATTTATTTTTGAGAGACAGAGACAGAACATGAGCAGGGGAGGGGTAGACAGAAAGGGAGACACAGAATCAGAAGCAGGCTCCAGGCTCCGAGCTGTCGGTACAGAGTCCTTCACAGGCTCAAACCCACAGACTGCAAAATCATGACCTGAGCTGAAGTAGGACGCTTAACTGACTGAGCCACCCAGGCGCCCCCTGGCAAAAAATTTTCTAAAAAACATATTGGTTCTATCAATCTTTCGCAAGTCTTTTTTTCCCCAAGTGATAGAAACTCAACTCACATTGGCGTAAGTGCAAAGGTAATTTATTGGCTCACGTTTCTGAGCAGTCCGGTATTAGTATTGGCTGGACATAAGGTTTGCATAGTGGCATCACCAAGTTTTTCTCTACCTTTGGGCTGTGCTTTCTTTTGGGTTGGCTCTGTTCCTTTGCAAGCTCTTCTCTTGCAGCAGATCAAGAGGATGACCGTTATCTCTAGTCTTACATGTTACCAAGTTAGTAACCCAAGCAAAAAGAGAAAGCTCTCTTCCTCTCAGGTTTATCAAAGCTGATACTGGCTCCGACTGGCCTGGCTTTGGTCACAGGAGAGTGGGGAAAGGATATTACCCACAAAGTAAAATCACAGTGCTAATTACCAAACAGGGTTTTAATGCTAGCCAGACCAAACAATAGAAGCCTGCTACACTTACACATGTAACTACACCTAAAACTGTATCTGGCCTGATTCTGTGTGATTAAGTCCTGATGTTTGAAAGACTAACAAATATTAGAGTTCTGGAATGATTTGATTTTGAGCTCTTTCACCCTCCATAGTCTCTGATCATTATCCTTTTCTTCCCCACTACAGAGAAAGATTTCTGGTGTTAAACTATAAGGACAAATTTGAGTCTGGCATTCTACAGCTGAGTCAGTGGTTTAAAGAAGGAAAGCTAAAGGTAGAACTTGCCTCTATTCTTTTATCAATATCACTGATATTGACATAATTATATACTTTTGTGTTATTTGAATTTATTATAGTGAACATATTAGCTTTGTAATAGGAATTCCTACAAAATTGCACTGAATATTGTAAATTAAGTTTACTCTCAGGTGAGTATAACTTCCTAATTGAGAAACCCTCTACTGTCAGTCGCTTTATCTAAAATTTTATTAACCTTTACTTTTCTTAGATTATAATACAAGACAAAAAGGTGTTTTTTTTTCAAATTTTAATATTCACTAATTTAACAAATATTTATGGAATGCTACTATGTGTTAGAAGCTGTGCTTTTTTTCTTTCTTTTCTTTTCTTTAAAGTTTATTATTTATTTTGACAGAAGAGAGAGAGAGAGAGAGAGAGAGAGAGGAGAGAGAGAGGGGGACAGAAGATCCAAAGCAGGGTCCATGCTGACAGCAGAGAGCCTGATGCAGGGCTCAAACTCACAAACCACTAGATAATGATCTGAGACAAAGTTGGTAGCTTAACCAACAGAGCCAGCCGGGTGTCCCTAGAAGCTGTGCTTCCTCAAAATCTTTTAAGCACCTCCCTGTACCCCTATCTCACCATCACTATACTTCTTTCCTGCCCTCCCTGATAGCCTGATATATTTCTTGGTTGCTGGCTGAAAATCAGGAGTTATTCATCTGGGGTCTAGAGACACTGACCTGGGATGTTCTTGAAACTTGCAAATGACAGGCAAAGTTACATGTGCGTGTGCTTATGTTCATATACTTTGTTTTCTGAAAAGAGGGGATAGCTTGTGATGTTGCCAATTGAAGATTAGACAATGGGAAAAGAGGATTTTCTTTTTTTAAGAAGATTTTATTTTTAAAAATCTTTCAATAGGAAACTTCTGTGCTATATCCATGAAATGAAGAATATCTGTTTTTAGACAGAAAGTGCTAAATAGTATTACTGCTCTTTGCCAACATGGAGAATATTACAGTTGACCTTGAACACCTCAGGGGTTAAGGGCGTTGACACCCTCCATGCAGTTGAAAATCCCATGTATCTTTTGACTCCCCCAAAACTACGAGTAGCCTACTATTGACCAGAAGCCTTACTGATAACATAAACAGTTGACTAACACATATTTTGTATGTTATATGTAATTTATACTGTATTCTTACAATACAGTAAGCTAAAGAAAAAATGTTATTAAGTAAGTTACAAGGAAGAGAAAATACATTTACAGTACTTATTTATTGAAAAAAAAATCTGTGTATAAATGGACCTGCACAGTTCAAACCCGTGTTGTTCAAATGGTCAACTTTAAATAGACATGATGAAGTCTAAAGAATACTATATTTGGTTATTTTGACTTACAGATTAAAGAGACTGTGGTAAATGGATTGGAAAACATGGGAGGTAAGATGAATGTAGGTTTATTTATCATATGCATGAGCTTAGCACAAATATTCCCTTTTTTCCTTTACTTCTACTTCCCTCATTTTTTTTCTTTTTAAATCATTTATTTCTTTCCTGTAAACCCATCCTGCAGGTTTACTTAAATATGTTAATCAAACTCCATTAAAGTTCAGCTTAATGGTATTTAAGAAAGTATTGTTTTCACGTTTCAAGTCATCAAATAAGTATTTCTTTGGTTTTGAAACAAGTTATGAAAAAAAATACAAGTATCACAAAAGTCATTTACCTTCTAGGTAACTTTTTCAGATTGAATCGTTCTAAGACATCATAAGATTATATTAAACAGATTTTCAATATTTAGGGTTTTTTTTTCCCTAACATACACAGATTTCAACATTCTTTTGTCTGTTTAAAATGAAAGATTAGATCAAACTGTTTTTTTTTTTTTACCTTTTTAGGAAAAAATATTTAATACATTTGGTCAATATGTTTACTAAACAACTTAAATTTTACTCATTTTCCTGGCATAACATGCATATTTTACTTAGTAAAACTTTATGGTTAGATTTCTATTATTTTTAATAGTAACTGAAAAATTGTTTGTGCTGGCATTTTATCCACATACTTATTTGCTTCTAGTCTTCAGATTCTATAAACAGTGAACACTGAGGTAGATACCAATTAAACATTTCTAGTTTGGGTAAAAACACATTTTTAAGATGTAAATTGAGTTAGTTTAGTGGTTTTGCCAATATTTCACTTCAGGTTCTCTTCATGAAAATTTCCTTCTATAGTTAATATTAAAATAATTGAAGAAATTATTCAAATTAATTGCATGTGTTCGACCTACTGATAAACATGTATGATAGTGACATTTAGGTTTTCATATAACCTAGTTTGTTTGTTTGTTTGTTTTCTTTCTAGTTGCATTCCAGTCCATGATGACAGGAGGTAACATCGGAAAGCAGATAGTTTGCATTTCAGAAGAAACCTCTTTGTAATATGTATAAGCATCTTCATCAAGGAAATACACAGATTTCTTTCCATTTTACTCAAAGATTTTTAAGATATTTCATTAAAAAAATCTTAGACTACAGATAGCTTTTTTTTTTTATGTTGATTTTTGAGAGATAGAGACAGAGTGTGAGTGGGGAGGGGCAGAGAGAGAGAGGGGGACACAGAATCAACACAGGGCTCAAACCCACAAGCCATGAGATCAGGACCTGAGCTGAAGTCGGATGCTTAACTGACTGAGCCAGCCAGGTGCCCCGAGTACAGATAGCTTTTAATTACATAGGTAATATTTTCTAGTTGGATAACATTTTTTCCTTTATCTTCAATATCATATATGTTCTCTGTATCCAACATGAGTATTTACAATAATAGACTGAAGTCAACATGACATTATTTTTCTTTCCTTTACCAATATTACATATGATGTTTTGATTAGACAGTCTGAAACCCATAGAGATTTGATGTAACTCTTTAGCAGATCATACAAAATAAACAGATTTTTACAGTTAATAACTTTCACTTAAAATAGAATGCTTGAGGGGTGCCTGGGTAGCTCAGTTGATTAAGCATATGACTCTTGATTTTGGCCCAGGTCACGATCTCCCGGTTCATAAGATGTAGCCCTGTGTCAGCATCGTGTGCTGACAGCGTGGAGCCTGTTTGGGATTCTCTCTCTCCCTCTCTTTCTCTCAAATTAAAAGAAATATATATAGAATGCTTGAGAAGACACATTGCAAATATACGTTGACCTGGAAATGCTTTACATAACTCTTGAACTGTAATTTGGTGTAAGAATAGAATTGGGATGGCCTTTCCATGTGGAGATGGAGATGGCAGAGTGTGTGTAGGGGTTTTGGGGGAATCCAGAGCTTGTGGAGCAGTTTTTAGGATACAGAGCAGAGGCTTTGTGTTGAGAAGATAAATAACTGAGGTCAGTTAGGTCGATGGAGACAGTAGTTTACTAGAGGATGATCTATTTGTGTTTTGCTAAATAATTTACTGTATAGTCTAAAAACTCATATATTGACGAAAGCATGTTTGTTTTAGGTTAGCAGGCACACACTGTCACATAGTGTAAAGATTTCGAGGGCAAATAGATATAAACATCACTTGAAGTCTTAGGTGATTAGAAAGATTAAGACAACAAAGACAGTTTTAGCAAATGACAGGACTTAAAAGAAAATGACAGGACTGACTGAACAAATTAACAAATGGTTCTGAACATGAGTTTCAAGATCTATTAATGAACCTCTAAATAAGAGGGTTTGTTTCATTAATTTAATCAACCATTTACAACAATAAAATCGAGGATATTTTTCTAAGTGTTGTGCTGGTTTATGGTCACCTGTTTACACCCTGCAATATACTTTTGTCTATAACATTTGTAGAAAGTGGATTGAAATTTTGTTAGTAATCAATCACTCCAGTTGACCTCAGTGTTCTCTTTCTTGTTTTATATACCTTTCCTGGACTGTTTCATCTCCAGAAAGGTCTGTATGTTGATAACTACTAAATCTACACCTCTATTTCTGACCTTTTACTTGAGCTGGGGACCTCCAAGTAAAATATCCTTTTGACACCTGGGATAAACTCTGTTTATCTAAAGTGGAATTGCCTTTCTCTTACATGTTTCTACTTTGTTTTTAAATCACCATAGTTTGTGCACCCAAACTACTACTCTCTCACCCATTCAGATACCTGTTACGAAATCAAGGCTTGTGTTTAACCTTGAGAATACCCTTCTTAGAGAACTCCTTTAATTCCCACTGCCACGATCTTGAGTTCCTCGTCCTTTGGCACACAGCAAGTATTCAAAAATTAATAATTTGAAAGTCTGTCAACCCCATTAAGCTCTAACACGTGGTGGCATCCAGCCTGGAACTCAAGTGTTCTATTGCGGTGTGGATATCCGAGAGCTCTTTCCATCCCAACATAGGGAACCCAGACTCTGGAGAATTCATATTACAAAAAAAGTTATACACCTGAGTCTCAATTCTTACCCCGTCCCGTATGCAATGCAGAATCTGATTCTGCAAGTTCCCTTCTCAGTCAGTGAAGCTTTGAGATCCTCTTCACTGATAAATGTTTAAGTAGGGCTCTCTTCCTCGCTTGCCTCCGTCGTAACTAGTTCTGATCTCAGCTGACAGGAAAAACTACCCCTTCTGTTGCTGCAAGGAAGCAGTGACGTCACGGCTGGCACGAACTGACCCCGTTTCTCGGGTTTCGTAGACCACGGGGCCCCAATGTCGGGAATGAATAGGAAGCGAGAGACCTCCTGGCGTCCGGGGGCTCAGCCCGGCGCGGACAGCCCGGCCCCAGCCCTCCATCAACGCCTTGGGGAGACCCCCACGCGGGGCGGCAGCTGTCCAGCCTGGGGCGGCGAGTGGGTGTGAGCCTTGGGGGCCGGCCAAACTTCCTGTCCCGCGCTGCCGCTGCTTCCGGCGGGAGCCGGAAGACGCTGTGTGTGGACGGAATTCGGTACCGACTGACGGCTAGCAGGCTGCCCGGGACGGGGAGGTGAGCTCCGGGCTGGGCCAGGCCACAGCAGCACAGCTAGGTGGTCGCCGAGAGGGAGGGAGCCAGTACCGGTCCCTCGGGGGCTCGGGCCGAGTTCGACTCAGGAGAGGACAGGGAAACCGCCCCCCCCCTTGGGCACCCCTCCCTTATCTGGCGGGCCCGGGAGCGGCCGGTCTGAAGCCCTACGGCTTCGGCCCTTCCCCTCGAGGCGTTTTGGGGCCGGTGTTTCGGCTCATTTGCTTGGTTTTGGGGGCCGGGGCTTGGGAACAAGACGGTCCTGAGAAAGCTAGGGTCAGCGTGTCCCTAGGGCGGGGGCTCCTGGACTGCACCCGCAGCCGAGCCCTGCCCGCGGGCTTCGGGGCCTTACACTAAGGCCGTTGCGGTGGGGCAAAGAGGATGCCGAGGAGACTCTGCCTTCGGTATTTCAGCCCAGAGCTACCCCTTCTTTCATACGTCCACTTACTTTCTGGGTCTAGAAGAAGGAAGGCTGCCGGCTCTGAGGGGCTTTGGCTGCTAGCTTCTCCTTCGCCTGTCATTTCAAGGCGAGGCTGTGGGCTGTGGGTGTTTACAGCCTTGTAGGCATTCCAAGGTTCAAGTTCTCCTCCGACGTTTCTTCAGAGAAAAGCATGCAGTTCTTCGGCTGTTAAAGTTTATCCCACTTGCTCATGAGGCTTTGAAATGCATTTAGGCACCATTTGGAAGTTAAACATTACTAACTTGGGCCTTAAGAATTTGTACTTCTTCACTTTGGCGCATGGGTCAATGCAACATATTTGCGAAGTGAATAGAAGAAACATTTTTGAAATAAAGCCGGTGGCATTTTGTTGTTAGGGAGTGAGAAATTTCACCTGTTTTATCTTACTTAGTATGGACAGAGTAAAGTCAGCTAAACCGAAGATTTAGGTTCTAATTTTTAAAAATTCTGCATTTAAGTAGATGTCTGGTTTTTGGCAAGTTACTTAATCTCTACCTTTTTCCCCCTTCTTTGTAAATGAAGAGGCTTACCTATTTATTCAGCGGGTATTTCCTGAATGCTTAGTTTGTGCAAAGCATAATACTCAGTTAATGAGAGTAGAATGAATAAGTTCAACCACTTTAACCAATGAGAAAGTTATGCATGTAGACACCTAACAGCCTAGACAGGATAGAATCATTGCTAAAATGAGGTGAAATAGCGTGTTGTGACAACACTATGGAAAGGACAGATTTGTTTTCACTGGAGGGAAAGGATCAGAGTCTTAGTGGAGGATGGCATTTGAGTTGGATATTAAAATCTGGAAAGGAGGGGCTCCTGGGTGGCTCAGTCGGTTAAGCATCAAGCTCTTGATTTTGACTCAGGTCACGATCTCACTGTTCGCGGCATGGAGCCCCGTGTTAAGCTCTGTGCTGTCAGCGGGAAGCCTGCTTGGGATTCTCTCTCCACTGTCTCTGCCCCTTCCCACTGCTGACACTGTCTCTCTCAAAATAAATAAATAAGCATTTAAAAAAATGAAAAAAAAAGTCTGGAAAGGATTTCAAAAAATCACAGCTGGATAGTGCTTATAATTGGTTGAAGAACTATTCTAAGCAAAGATGTGGAGCACTGAAATAGGCTGGTGTCTTCATTCAGTAGCCAGTCCATGTGGGTTGGAGCAAAGGGTTAATTGAGGAAGATGGACGTGCTGTAAGTGAAACAGTGTTTGAAGATAGATTGTAGGATATTTGAAATGCCATAGTTAGGGATTTGACTAATATTCTGAGGCACTGAATTTTGAGTGAGTGAAGTAACAAGCATTTCTGTATTTTGGAAAGATAATTTGAGTGGCTGCATAAAAAGATGGATTGAAGAAGAGAATTTTGGGGCACCTAAACTACTCAGTCGGTTGACTCTTGGTTTTGGCTCAGGTCATGAGATGGTTGGTGGGAGTGAGTCCCACTGCTTGGGATTCTCTCTCTGTCGCTCCCCTGCTTGCTTTCTCTCTCTCTCTTTCTCTCTCTCTCTCTCTCAAAAATAAATAAATAAACTTAAAAAAAAGGGGGGGGAATTTTTAGGGAAGGATGACCAGTTAGTAGTTTCTTTTAATAGTGTAGTTGAAAGATAATGAGGCCTAAACAGGGCATTCCAGGGGGAATAAATTTGGGGGAATTAGAACTACTGGGGTTATTTAAATATTGAAGATGAGAGACATTGTTAAAGACCTAGAATTTATGGCTGAGTGGGAAGAAGATTGGGCAATAATTGAAATGGATAATACAGGAAGAAGAACAGGTTTGGTGGTAGAGATGATTATCTGGATTGTGAACACTGTTAGGTTTGAGGTGGATATCTGTGTGGAGATACCCAGCAAGCAGTTAGAAATGAAAATTTGGAGTTGAGGAGAGAGGTCAGGAATAGAGGCAAATATTTTGGTATTATATCCAGGTCATTCATTCATTTATTCAGTGCCTACTAGGTGCTTGCAGGGAAGTTTGTATAGAAGCCCTTTAATCTCATAGTAAAGACAGCCTTGGAGTTTCACAGTATCAGAAATGACTCTTGGAGACCTAAATTCCTTATGAATTACATAAAGTAATTTGCCTAGCACTGTGCTAGGTAGTGGAATGTAAAGTTATAAACAAGACAGACTAGTTCCTGCCCTTGTTTATGGAGCTTACAATTTAGGGGAGTAACCAGACCAAAAAAAAAAAAAAAAAGGAATATTACATAAAAACAAAGCAATTAGAAATAGTAGAGATAGAGAACAAAGGTGGAAGTGTGGGGAATCTTCTTTGGATAAGGTGACCAGACCAAGCCTTTGTAAATGAGTTGATAGTTAAACAGAGCCCAGAAAAGTGAAAAAGAGGTAACTAATGGAGAGGGAGGTTAAAGCATTCCAAGGCAGAGGAAAAGACGTGTGCACATCCCTAACATCAGAAAGAGCTTAATGTGTTGAAGGAACTAAGATGATTGGAGCTGGGAGAGCAAGTAAGGGAGAGTGACTCTGGAGTGTGGTTGGAGGAACAGGAATGGATCACATAGGTTCTTACATGCCAGGACAAGGAGTTTAAATTTTATGTAGGTGCATTGGGAAGCCGCGTAAAGAGTTTCAAGCAGGTGAGTGATATAATAGGAATCATTTTAATTTTTTTTAAACATTTTTATTTATTTTTGAGAGACAAGAGAGAGACGAGTGTGAGCAGGGGAGGGGCAGAGAGAGAGACACACACAGAATCTGAAGCAGGCTCCAGGCTCTGAGCTGTCAGCACAGAGCCTGACGCGGGGCCCAAACCCACCCACCAACCATGAGATCATGACCTGAGCCAAAGTCGGATGCTTAACCGACTGAGCCACCCAGGTGCCCCTAAAAAGATATTTACTACTGGAAAGAGAATAGAATGGAAGGTAGGCAAGAGTAGAAGCAGGGAGATGAGTTAGGTGGTACTAACAGTAGTTTAGGGCAAGTGTTAATGGTGGCCTGAAATAGGGTGGTGGATAGAAGTAGGTGGATTTGTTATCTTAATGGGACTTGCAGCTGGACTGGATATTGGGAGCAAAAGAAAGAAAGTAATAAAAATGATTCCTAAATGGGGTGCATGGTGGTCCTGTCTTAAGTGGAGGATTGTGGTGAGTGGGGCTGGCAGGGCATGATGGAAAACAGGCTTGAGAGAGAATTAATTTTAGACACATTAGAGATACCAAGTTTCAAACATTAAGTACAGGTACCAAGTAAGCAATTGTATGTGCAGGTCTGCAGCTCAGGGACGTATCTGGGCTATAAATAAAAATTTTGGTGATTAGCACGCAGTGTTGTATTGAAGTGTTGAATTACTGTATCGTGTACCTGAAACTAATATTATGCTGTATGTTAACTAATTGGAGTTTAAATAAAAACTTTAAAAAATTTTGGAGACTATCATTTAAAGCCATGAACTTATGCTAAGAGGAGAGTGTAGCAAGAGAAGAGGTCCTGAATACTATCGTGAGGAATATTAGTATTTAGAGGCTGTGTGCAGGAAGAGTATAGAAGTTACCAAAGGAGGGACACCTGGATGGCTCAGTCAGTTAAGCTTTCAATTTTGGATCAGGTCATGATCTCAGTGAGCTTGAAGACCTACATCGGGCTTTGTACTGACGGTGCAGAACCTGCTTGGGATTCTCTCTCTGTCTCTCTGTCTCACTCTCTCTCTCTCCCTCCATCTTTCTCTTTCTTGCTCTTTCTCTCAAAGAAAAAAAAAAGTTACCAAAGGAAACTGGAGGAATGGCAATGACAATAAGAGTAAAATGAGGAACATGTATCTTTGAAGCAAAGACAGTAAGTGTTTGAGGAAGGAGACAGTGCTTCTAAGGGATAATACCAGTTATGGCTCTGATTGCTTCAGAAGTAACCAGTTTGCTTCAGAAGAGGAATTTATTTTATTTTACTTTTTTTTAAATTTTTTTTTTTCAACGTTTATTTATTTTTGGGACAGAGACAGAGCATGAATGGGGGAGGGGCAGAGAGAGAGGGAGACACAGAATCGGAAACAGGCTCCAGGCTCTGAGCCATCAGCCCAGAGCCCGACGCGGGGCTCGAACTCACGGACCGCGAGATCGTGACCTGGCTGAAGTCGGACGCTTAACCGACTGCGCCACCCAGGCGCCCCCAGAAGAGGAATTTATAACAAGGATGTGGGCAGCTCATAGGATCAAAGGAAATGATGAAGGCCTTGGCTTCATAAAGGACAGGAATCTGAGCAGCCCCAGGGGAGGCTGCTAGCTGCATTACCGGAATGAATGGGCTGCTGCAGCAGTTTTCAGCCCTTTGTTACTTCTTTTAGAATTCACATTCTGAGGAAAAGTGGCTGATTTGTTCAGTGCAGGTCAAGTGTCCAACAGTTGGTCAGTGAAGGAAAGAACACCTTAATCTGCAGTCTCACCAAAGGTGTATCCAATGGGGGAGGGGTACATCCCCAAACTAATGTAGATCCTGTCACCTAAGCAGGGGAAATGAATGTAGGACAATTAAAAACAATAGTTGTTCATTGCAAAGGTCAAATAAGAT